AAATAAATGGAATTTTTATAGCGGAACCTACAAATAAACTAGTATATATTGAGTTATCGGCCTTTTTTGTTCTCGGATTTGGCCGATTTTAGGCAACCTGAATTATGTACCACTACGTCCTGGAGAAATACATTTCGCGGTACGCATATGTACCACTTCGTAGTCAACGTGCTAAAAAGATTTTGTACGAATTTTCGGGGGTTGGCCACTTGTCGAGGATGAAGTCGATGACGTCCTCCTTGATGTCGCCCTGCAGGACGATCTCGTCCGGCCCCGTCACCGAGCAGCCGCACGCAAACTTCTGCCCCAGCGTCTTGCTGCACGCCTTCAGGTCCAGGTCTGGGGGATGTCATGGCTTTAATACGCAACAATTAAGTACCTATGTCTATTACAGCAACAATTAAATAGGTACCTATATAAATTACAAGGGAAAAATTGCAATTTCACTGCATAGATTTTCGTCCAAGCATATTTTTAACAATAATCTTGCTGTACGCTTTCAGGTCCAGGTCTGGGGGATGTCATGGCTTTAATACGCAACAATTAAGTACCTATGTCTATTACAGCAACAATTAAATAGGTACCTATATCAATTACAAGTGAAAAATTGCAGTTTCATTGCATAGATTTTCGTCCAACTGCACATTTTTAACATTATTCTTGCTGTACGCTTTCAGGTCCAGGTCTGAGCTAGGAAGAAGTGGGTTTAGCAGGCAACAGTGAAAAATAGTGATTAACATGAAAATAAATTAAACGTCGTGCATTATTATAGGAGCGCAGCCGTACACCACCAAATTTGTGCACCAATCAGCCCTGAACAGAACGCCTAGCATATTTCTGTAAGGCCACCAATCAGCCAATCAGCCGCGTATTAATCCTGGTGGCAGTAACTCGCCCATGACATCATCTTGCTTTAACTGTCAAGAGCTTTACGCCACCACATTCTGAAGCGAATAGCCCAGAGAGTAATGGTTGTCCACCACTGAACGTTGCAACGAATCATCACTTCATACCCTGACTTTAGCTCGAACTGTAACTTGCGGACAACGGACTGCAACCAACCAGCCCAGGTCGCCAGTGGAACTGCATGCATCCTGCCGTGCACCACCAGACCGTCACTTTTAGCTCACAACATCTGGGGTTAGGTTTCAGATAGCATAGTTCTGTTCCAAAATATATTGTCCGCCAACGAACTACTTCCGCAGCTTCGCTAAATTACGTAACATTTAGGTCACAGCATCTGGGGTTAGGTTTCAGATAGCATAGTCCTGTTCTAAAATATATCGTCCGCCAACGAACTACTTCCGAAGCTTCGCTAAATTACGTAACTTTTAGCTCACAGCATCTGGGGTTAGGTTTCAGAAAGCATAGTTCTGTTTCAAAATCTATCGTCCTTCGACGAGCGACTTCCTCAGCTTCGCTAAATTACGTAACTTTTAGCTCACAGCATCTGGGGTTAGGTTTCAGAAAGCATAGTTCTGTACCAAAATATATCGTCCTTCGACGAGCCGCCCGTGGGCTAATTCGATGCAAAGAATGAATACGGACGGGTTGGTGGCGGTCCACAAATTTACTGCAAGGCTCCGGCGCGCGGTGTCCGAGTCGCGCAGAATTTTTTCGCGCACCGACAGACGATTCTGGGATTCCTATTACAGGCTGTTCTTCTGTGGGCTGATTGGGCTACTTCAATGTGATCTGTCTGGTGGCTTGCGGCTGATAATGTTACAGTCAAGTATTTTATAGGCTACGTTCTTGAGGGAAAGGATCATTATAGTCCATTCGGAACGCGGCAGTGGTGGTCACCGACAGGCATCACCATTATTACAACATAAATTTTAGTCTAACTTAAAATCTATATTATTAATCTTGCTGACGCTCACTAATGCAGATCTGGGGGGGGGGGAGGATGGAGGGGCTACATTAATATTAATCATATTAATAGAGCATATCAACATCACGCCGGGCAACTGAGGACGGCAGTTGTAATTCATTAATTCATTAGCAATTAATTAATAATTAGGTTTTAACAAATAAGTAAAAGTAAAAACGGACACAGAATCAAATAACTCACCGAAAGTCTTGAGCCCCATGATGACCGTGGTCTTCTTCTTGCCCCGCGGGGACAAGAACACCACAACCTGCGGGACACAAACGCGTGAGTGCGGGGAACATAGGGGGAACTGTAACAAAAAACTGGCAACAGTTTTATGTGAACGTAAGTACTTACGCTCTATTTTCTTGCCAATGATCAAGTGAACGTAAGTACTTACGCTCTATTTTCTTTTCTATGATTGGTTGATTTTGCTTGAAAGGCCGTCAATGATTGGCTGATGAACTTACGATCTCTTAACTTTTTTTAAAGTACAGGCCCTGATCTCTGCGTCAGAGAGAGGCCTGCGCTGCTGGAGGAAATGGCAAACGACAGAGACCCTGAAACGCATGGCCAGTTGAGAAGCTAAAGTTAAGGCGTTGGGGGAAAATACGTTATTCTTGCATTCTCGTTACCAAGGATTGAACTCTGCATGAACGAGTCATACATTGTTGTTACAAGTATATATATAAATGCAATAGCGATGGTGCAATATAAGTACAGGGAGGACGTGCTATGGAGGGAGGGGGGGGGGTTATGCCTGGCACTGTAAGGTATGGGGATCCCAATCCTGTTCAAGCGAGGTACCGTCAACTGGGGTGACTTCGGCCAAATGAAACTAGTTTCTGCCGATCAAATTCCTACAAAATAGGAATGAGGCGTTGCTGATGATTGTAAATTTGTAAATATATTACTGAAAGGTTCTTCTTTGAATATGTCATGTCTAAACTATGTCACTTTCATCGTTTAATAATTTATTTTTTAAATTAGCTTGGTGGCCGATGTCACCCCGCGATGGGGTGACTTCGGCCACGTGTGTTAAAACACAGTAAAAACGTATTGAAATGATTTCGTGGCTGAATTCAACCATTAGCGGGGTGACATCGGCCACGTAGGGTGTGATAAATTGGTTAGCTAGTTAAGAAGCAAACAATAGAACATTTCAATAGTAAAGATTAGATTTAGGTAATAGATGTTAATTTTAATGTAGCATGACAAATTGCAACAGACTTTGTTCATTATCTGAGCGATCACTTCAAGTTCCGACTGCAACAGCATCGCTGCAACACTGTCACTGCAACACACTGTCACTGCAACACTGTCACTGCAACTGCAGTCTCAGTATTGAAAATAATGATGTAAATGTAATGTGCTGCATGGACATTCATCACACACATGTGCACAGCACACAGAGCTATTAAAACTTTTATGTAAGCAAACAGCCTGAAAATGTATACTGGATTACTGTCAATTGGCTGGATTACTGTCAATTGTATACTGGATTTCAGTCAAAACTTGGGTAGGGAGGTTATAGGTAGTCCATCTGAATTACTCTTATAAATATATAAGGCTTTAAAACATGGAAAAGGCATTGCAATAAACGATTTCAAAATATTGGTTGAAAAAGGTATGGAAATGAGATAAGGTGAAATAATGAAAGAGTTGAAGGATAAAGTAGATTGCATGATATGGATGAGTTTAAGATTAATATATACAATTTTATGATTAAATATATGATTAGGATTTGCCTTCTTAGGCATGTCATCCTACATAGGACATGAGGGATCACAAGACTTGCCTTCTTAGGCGTGTCATCCTTTTTCTTGAGGCGCACCATGCCCTTGCCTCCTCTCTTCTGCCTCTTCTTCTCATCCTCGGCATCTTCTCCGTCCCCTCCACCTCCTGCAAAATTAAACCAAGTTAAAACCTAACAATAAATATCTCCATTTCACATGACAACAAGAAATAATCATTAATTACAATGATACATTTATCATGTTACTCATATTGACTTTTTTATACTACTGATTATATTGATCATGCATTTCTTATATTGATTTGAACAACATTTTTCTATAGAACATATTGATATGTATTTAAATTGACAACATCAATGATCTTATACGTCAGATACATTGATTCATTATATATTGATTATAAGGATACACTTCTATATTAAATAAATTTATATACATTTTTAATGGTTACAATATTATAAGCTAACCAGGAATTATATGTTAAATTAGTAATCAATCCACTAAATTTGTAATAAAAGTGCAATATTAAAAGACAGCGTCTCAGATATTCATATTGAAAGAGCAGAACATTAATGTCTAATATAAATTAGGATGACAAAAATTATCTGTTTTCCAATTAGTTTTAAAAAAGTGAATTTAATTATGTAATTCCAGTGACTTTAGTCAAATAGCTAAATTCAGGCTAAATTTAGACAAATAGACTAAATTTTAGAACTTCACTTCTCGTTGTTTGTTTGTCTGCTATAAATCTAATAATCAATATATAACACACTTTACCAGTCCATTTGATCTGAAATCTTGCAAACTTGCATAAAATTGGAGACAATGCATAAATCAATTGATAGAATAAATAATTTTGAATAACAACATATAAAAAACATATATATATATATATATAAAACAAATTTTATATAGGTATTAAAAAAATTTATATATGAAAAAAAGTTTATATATAATTTTTTTGTTATTTGATAAAATTAAACATTCATTATATACGTGTAACATCGGAGATACTGGATTCTATTGAAGTGTTGTCTTTAAAAAGTAATTTTTAATCCCATATTATTTCAAATAATTTTAAAATCTGACAAAAAATAAAATGCAACAAATGTAAAGATCAAAATGCACCTCTTAATACCTACTACATTTATAACAAGTTTTTGAGAAAAATATTGTAAATAAACTCATTGTATAGTTAAATTTGCAAACAACACTCACCATCTTCCATCCATTTAAATTAGAGGAAACTATTAGTAAATTATAACTATGTAAAAAATAAAGAATAACTATTAAATAAAATAAATCATAACTATTAAATATTTAATAAATAAACTATTGAATAAAATCACATAAATTTTGCAGACAACACTCACCATCTTTAGTGTTGAGTTGACTGAAGACGTCAGGAAGGTTTTGCTCAAGCCAGGCTTTACACTTCTCGTAGGACGGACAAAATTCACAGAACTGTGAAAATAGAAAACTTCAGCTGCTTAATAAAATAAACAAATCATACCTAGTGAGAAAATACTGTAAAATACTAGAAAATGTCAGAAAATACCAGAAATTGCCACCAAATGCCAAAAAAATTCAGTTGGTTAATAAAATGAATAAGAAACAAATTATAGTTAATGAGAAAATATCAAAAATGTATTTAATAATTCAAGACATGCAACAAAGTAGGTTAAAGAGTTGCTTTCTTGAATTTATGATCAGAAAAAATTAATTTAATGACAAATATCAATGGATTTTGCTGAGAAGAAGTAATAAATTGAATAATACATTTATATATCACACTTCTATTAAAGTTCAAATGACTTAAATTATATCAATATTAAAATATAATACAATGTATACTATACTGTTAAAATACAGATCAAACTCAAATTGCATAGATTGTAAAACATATTACACAGCATGTCACACTACTAGCACAATTGAAATAATGAGGCAAATGTAACATCTTACAATAGAGAGGCAAATGTAACATCTTACAATAGAGAGGCAAATGTAACATCTTACAATAGAGACTAGCCTCTATTGGCATGGAGCAGTTGCCGCAGTAGTGAACTGTGAGGGGATATTGAACTCCCGGCAAGGGAGCCTGTCCGAAATATTCTTCTGTTTCTGTAGCCATATTAATGTGTCAGTTTATAGGAACCTGGAAATTGACAATACAATTATCACACAAAAATAATTTCAGGAACCAAACTTCATTAAAAATCTAAAAGAATTTTGCCATTACAATGAGCACAAACTAACCTTCTACTTCTTCCCTACGAAGTTCTAACAGTTATACAAGTAGATTTGTATTTCTTTGTTTATTAAATTCAGGATTAAAAAATTTGAATTATTACTGAAGTCTGTCAGCTCCAAAGACCAAAGTGACTATTATAAAGATAAGGCACGTTGCAGATTGATTCTGCAATTATTTTAATTAAAATTGGAGTCATATCTAATATATTCAATCTAGCTGCTAGCAGGAAGCTAGCAGCTCCAAAAATGGTGGGGAAGCTCTAGTTGCAGCAGGGAAAGTAGCTAGCCAGCCTAGCCTAACCCTAACTAAGGAATTTCCCACTTCAAATATTAATTGATTTATTTATATCAATTTCAAAACTCCACATATTTTTAGAGGGAGTTGTGATGAGACCATGAGTTTGAATTGATGAGTTAAGCCATTGCAATTTGCAACTTGCAAGAGCCTAGGAAGAGGGGACCAAGGGCTGCAGGGCATGGGGCCTTGCAAAGGGTTACGACCGCCGCACGGCGGTGGACCGCCATAAGTACCTCTCTTTAGTTTATAGAATTCCACTATGCCCTAATCAGCAAGAACAAGAGAAACATGCAAAATTGGAACATGCATTGCATATGATATGCATTGAGAAAAAGAGAAAAATAAATAAATAAAAGAAAAAATCAGAAAAAAAAGATCAACATCTGATGATCTGAGCCCTGGGGCCTGAGCCTGAGGATTAACAGGGAGAGAATCTACTTAATTAATTTCTTTTCTTTAATACAGGTTACATCAGGGCAACCACTCCACATTGCTGCAAATATTGCAACAGGTATGAAAATATCTGAAGACGCTATTGGTTGGTGACGCACTGACGCCTGCGCCTAGTCTCCTAGGAGTAGGGGGCGGCTAGGGCTGCCTGCAGGCTGCAGCCCCCAAGGAAGCCCTAGTGCAATCACTGAACTCATGAAGAGTGCTCTTGGACCAGTGAATCTTGTACAATGTAATAAGAAATGAGCTATATTGTCCTCTACTTGACATGCAATCACATACTGGGCAAACTGCAGGAAGACAAGCATTGCGGCGGCAGATACAGAGCTATGAAACACCGCAAGGTTGCAGGTTCAAACCTAAATATCGGAAACCGACCACAATAAATAACGCCAAGGCCCAGATCGAACCTGTTAACTCTTCCCGCTAAGATTGTAGATTTTGGCTCGCATTTAATTCTTTCATGGGCAATAGTATGACATCTTTCAGAAACTTATCAATGTTTCGTATAACTTGAAAATTAATTTTATTGTATTCGAAAAGTCGTGAATACATTTAAATTACTTCATTAAACCTGCATTTTGATCAGCAAACGTCATCTGAATAATCGTTCGACCCTGAAAACTTAAATCGATGAATAATCTGGTGATTAACCGCCCGTGTTCATTTAACCAAATATATGTATCGTCAATCACTAAAATGAAATGAGGTCTCATATTGATAATAATAATAATAGCGGTTTCAGCGCTTAATAGGCAGTAGGCCTGTCGCCGATTTTTAACATCGCAAAACATTCACAGCTTGTTGCGGTCTCGAACTCGCAACTCACTGCTACAATTCTACCTTGCTTAACCGCCCGGCCTCCTTGCCGATTCTGACCAGAAACTGGCACACAGAGCTGGGATCGAACCCGCGCTTCTCTGCGCCAATCACGGTACTCTGAGCTGTGACCATCATTAGGAAATTTTCTGAATGTATGTGTATTTATGTTAAATCTACCCTATGATATACCTCAGACGGCAACATTAGTTTTTGTTCACACATTCTTTTTTACATTAATATTATGAATCCGATCTTAATGACAATGTGATGAGAGATGTTGGTCGGCGCCAGCTGCAATAAACATTAAACCTTAAAATAACATTGAGTTTCATGTGAAATAAGGCAAAAGAACTGATTGCGTGCTAACACCTGAAGAATAAAATTATTAAATAAAAACAGACATCTATCAATCAGTAAAATAGTCAGCTTTTTGCTCCTATCAGGTGCGAATCCCAACCGACATCGTGCCTAATAAAACGTTGCATTCTTTGCCTGCTCTGAAGCGCTTTTCCCACCTCGCATCTAACTTTTTATTAACGTAAAATTAAACGTTGTTGTAACATCATTTGCCTCGTGGGTTGGGCCTCATCAGCGTTTTACTTAGTAAAGTCAGGCAAATGAGACGACAGGAAAACAAAGTGGGATGCTGTCTCTCTGGAAGAAATCAGTATACAAAAGGAAGTAGCGTGTCATCAGTGGTCTAATAATTTATATACGGCTCTTAAAATATGGAATAAAGATTGGAGGGTCAACATAAAGGATTCTATACATAACTTTAAACGCCGTGTGCTAAAAACGTTGAACTTTCAATTTAGAACTCAAATTACAACGTAGAGTAGAACGGATCGTAAAAGCGGGCCTTCGAATATTGTTTGATTGGGCGTTCATTTACCTCAACACTCTACTGGTAGAGTGTTGAGGCTGGACCTCGTCTACTGCCCTCGTCCACTGCCGTCGACAACTGCCTTCGTCCGCTGCCCTCGTCCATTCCACTCGCCCGCTGCCTTCGTCCGCTGCCCTCGCCCAGTGTCCTCGTCCACTTCACTCCTACTCTGTTAATAATAATAATAATAATAATAATAATAATAATAATAATAATAATAATAATAATAATAATGCCGATTCTGAACAGAAGCTGACGCACAGAGATGGCATCGAACACGCACTTCTCTGCTCTACTTTTCCTGTTACTCAGAACTCTAACCACTGGGCCACCCTGCTTTGGTTTAATTTGCCATCTCATAGAGATGATCTTGTCGCTGATGTGATGGATCTCGCAAAAATAGTTCAATATTTTAACTAGTGTGGTCAAGATGCAGCATAGGAGGTCCGCCTCATAGGGCACCACTGGTACAAAAATTAAATTACATTTACCACCTGTCCAGTCAAGAGCTACAAGGCTCTTCTCGTGACCGCTGCCTTGACACCTTGCTGCTTTATACTGACCGCTGCCTTGAGAACAACTCGCTGCCTTGTAGCTCTTGTCGTAACCGCAGCCTTGAGGACACCTCGCTGCCTTGTAGCTCTTGTCGTGACCGCTGCCTTGAGGACACCTCGCTGCCCTGTAGCTCATGTCGTGACCGCTGCCTTGAGGACACCTCGCTGCCCTGTAGCTCATGTCGTGACCGCTGCCTTGAGGCCACCTCGCTGCCTGTAGCTCATGTCGTGACCGTTGAGAACACCTCGCTGCCTTGTAGTTCTTGTCATGACCGCTGCCTTGTAGTTCTTGTCATGACCGCTGCCTTGAGGACAACTCGCTGCCTTGAGGACACCTCGCTGCCTTGTGCGCATGATCGTATAATTATGACAAATGAGCTTCGTTTTAAATTCGATCAAGATTAGTTCTCAAGTGACAAACTTATGCGTGAAAAACCTGCTATAAAATGTTATCCCAAAATTCGCTTAAAAAATTCGTCCCAGAAGTGTCGAAGTGGCATTAATAAGGTTTTCTGTTGTGAGTTAACAACGGCGCCTGTCATACTTGACAAGCGGTTCTCGACTTGGCGGAGATAAGCTGTTTATTTATACTTTATATATTATATTTTTCTATAACAAATCGGGAGATTTTTCTCATACCTGAAAATTGTATTAATAAAATACTAAATTATTATTATAGTAGCTGTTTTCAATCATTTTATTTTAATTATGCCGCATTCAATGCAAGAAATAGTAAAATACTTAATAAAGCGCCAGCACCCGTCAAAGTGTGAATATGCAGTATTTGCAGTACGTATTTAGACAGCGAGACCAATTTAGAAGAAGTGTAAACATGCAAGAACGTACCAGGCCTCGGTGAGCTGGGTTTTTCCACCCAGATCTGGGTTTTTTACTGACGCACGAGTGTCTGGGTGTATTTTTCTTTTTAATGGTAAAATCTGTGTTTTTTCGTTAGGTAAGTTAATTTTAGCTAATAATATAATTGAAATATTCTCAATGCCTCAAATTTGATTATGCAGTTTATTAGCACGGCAGTTTCTTGCAAGGAAGCAACAGAATTGCTACACATGGAAGCCGAAACAAGAGTTGGTGAAAGACGTTATAGATGGAACCTGCTAGTGCTATCTACGATCTGAACGGCGTCCTAAACAAAAAAAAATGAGAGAACATCAATCTAGCAGCAGCCGAAGATTTATAATTCCATCAGAAGTAAGTAAAATTACAATGTTTTTGATGAAATTTATTGTCTGATTTTTTACAGAATCTGGATGATTTTCAGTAAGTATCTAAGTTTTTCTCAGATTATTGGCTGGGAGCGCTGTCACAGGGCTCCCAGGCAATAATTTGAGAAAAACTTAGATACTTAGACCGGTACGTTCAGGGCAGACAGGGCCCCTTTGTGTCCTGAACGTACCGGTGCATAGCTGTAGCTAGCTGCGGGCAACCGCACGCAGGCGCTGGGGCGTGACTGTCATTGACTCATTGCTAGTCACGCGAGTCACGTCGAGCTGCGGTCGGTTCGATTACTTGTTTCGAGTTGCTACGTTAGAATAAATTAATAATTGTGAAATCGTCGAAGTTACCATTTCTGCCTCAAAGTTCTGTGTTCATCCCTATTGAGGTACGTATGTTATTTAATGTTAGACAATATTTTCAATAAAATTGAATTTGCGCATATCATGATGCAAGTTCATAGAGTATGATAGGGTATTCCTCCAACTTGTTTGATGCTTGAAACTGAAAGGTCGTCTTTGGAAAAAACGTTTGCTATGACGGAGTTATTATATTTTTTATTTATTATTAGTATTACGGTATATAATATATTTATATACATCCTGTATATTAGGGACCCTTGCATTTCAATTCTGCTGTATGGCCTGCCCCTTTCAGGCCCTTTTAGGCTTTCAGCATATAAAATTTTTCTGTTATAGGTAATTCTCCGCAACCTGCCCCTGCCGTAGCCTCTCGTGGACTCTAGCGAGTCAGCATCTCTCATTTGCCAACTTAAATTCCCCCTGCCATTGTCTCCAGTCAGCACCCCTCATTTGCCAGCTGAAATTCCCCCTGCCATTGTCTCCAGTCAGCACCCCTCATTTGCCAGCTGAAATTCCCCCTGCCATTGTCTCCAGTCAGCACTTATCATTTGCCAGCTGAAATTCCCCTTGCCATTGTCTCCAGTCAGCACCCCTCATTTGCCAGCTGAAATTCCTATCATTGTCTCCATTCAGCACCCCTCATTTGCAAGCTGAATTCCTATCATTGTCTCCAGTCAGCACCTCTCATTTGCCAGCTGTAATTCCCCCTGCCATTGTTGCCAGTCAGCACCCCTCATTTGCCAGCTGAAATTCCCCTTGCCATTGTCTCCAGTCATTACCCCTCATTTGCCAGCTGAAATTCCTATCATTGTCTCCAGTCAGCACCTCTCATTTGCCAGCTGTAATTCCCCCTGTCATTGTCTCCAATACGCACACCACATTTGCCAGCTGAAATTCCCCCTCCAATGTCTCCAGTCAGCACCCCTCATTTGCCATCTGAAATTCCCCTCTGCCATTGTCTCCAGTCAGCACCCCTCATTTGCCAGCTTAAATTTCCCTCTGCCATTGTTGTCACCAGTCAGCATCCCTCATTTGCCAGTTGAAATTACCCCTGCCATTGTCACCAGTCAGCACCCCTCATTTGCCAGCTGAAATTCCCCTCTGCCATTGTCTCCAGTCAGCACCCCTCATTTGCCAGTTGAAATTACCCCTGCCATTGTCTCCAGTCAGCACCCCTCATTTGCCAGCTGAATGAAATTCCCCCTGCCATTGTCTCCAGTCAGCACCCCTCATTTGCCAGCTGTAATTCCCCTCTGCCATTGTCACCAATCAGCACCCCTCATTTGCCAGCTGAAATTCCCTTCTGCCATTGTCTCCAGTCAGCATCCCTCATTTGCCAGCTGAAATTCCCCCTGCCATTGTCACCAGTCAGCACCCCTCATTTGCCAGGTAAAATTCCCCTGCCATTGTCTTCAGTCAGCATCCCTCATTTGCCAGCTGAAATTCCCCTTGCCATTGTCTCCAGTCAGCATCCCTCATTTGCCAGCTGAAATT